GAGGAATCCCATGGGAATGGGGAGGAATCCTACAGGGAATAGGGAGGAATCCCACGGGGAATGGGGAGGAATCCCCATGGGGAATGGGGAGGAATCCTACAGGGAACAGGGAGGAATCCCATGGGGAACAACGGGGAGGAATCCCACAGGGAATGGGGAGGAATCCCACGGGGAATGGGGAGGAATCCCACGGGGAATGGGGAGGAATTCCTGCAGGGAATGGGGAGGAATCCCACGGGGAATGGGGAGGAATCCTACAGGGAATGGGGAGGAATCCCACGGGGAATGAGGAGGAACCCCATGGGGAACGGAGAAGAATCCCACAGGGAACAGGGAGGAATTCTTATAGGGAATGGAGAGGAATCCCACTGGCGACGGGGAGGAATCCCACAGGGAACAGGGAATGGGGAGGAGTTCCCATGGGGAATGGGGAGGAACTCCCATGGGAAACAGGAAGGAATTCTACGGGGAACGGGGAGGAATCCTCATGGGAAACAGGGAGGAATCCTATGGGGAATGGGGAGGAATCCTCATGGGAACAGGGAGGAATCCTATGGGGAAGGAGGAGAAATCCCACAGGGAACCGGGAGGAATCCCCATGGGAATGGGGAGGAATCCCCATGGGAAACAGGGAGGAATCCCACTGGGAATGAGGAGGAATCCCACAGGGAATGGGGAGGAATCCCACAGGGATTTTTTCTCTCCAGTTCTTCATTCCCTTTCTTTTCATGGAATTGGGTGTCCGTGTCCCTCCAGCCCCAAATTCCTTCATGGCTGAGTGAGGCTGGGACAGGTTTTGTCCTTGCTGTGACATCGTTTGTGGCACAATCCATGAACAATCCGTGAATTTGGGGTGTGCAGCAGCCTCTCCCAAGGAATGGGAATAATGAGGGGGGTGAAATAATGGGAGCAGAATTCCCAGAGCAGCTGGGGCTGCCCCTGGATCCCCAGAATGTCCAAGGCCAGGCTGGAGCAGCCTGGGACAGTGGGATGGACATGGACATGGGATAGGATGGGATGGGATTTAAGGTTCTTTCCAACCCCAAAATTCCTGGGATTCCATGGAAACACCTTGAAGAGTAAGCTGGGATTTGGGTTCAGCCTGGTGCAGGAATTGGAGACGGGGTCAGGGCAGATGAGAGCAGAGGTGCCTTAAAGCTGCTGTGGGTTTCAGCTGGATTTCCCTGGAAAAAGGAGGGAATTTCACCTTCCCTGCACTGCTAACCTATTTACTCCAGAGCTAAAAA